AGCATTTTCATGTCTAGTAAAGGGGATGGCCTGGGAAGCATCGTGGTGGAGGAAGCTCCTGGTGGCCTCTGCCTTAGCTGCTTGTGCAGCTGCTTTTGTCTGGAGCCTTTCCAGGGGAACGGGCACAGAAAATGTGTTGTTTCGTGCCTGTCTCGTGTTGCAGCACATTAAGCCCCATCACCAATAAGCACTTGTCCAAATCCATGCAGGATGTGACCCTCTGGAATCAGCCAAATTAGTCCTTGGTGCACCCCTGTCACTCTGGGTGTTGCACAAAGGCCTGGGCCGGTGTGAAAGTTGTCTTCTCTCATGGTCCCAGACCTGCTGGCTATGGAAATGAATGTTTGCCATGGAAGAGCAAAGCACTGTCCTTCTGTGTCCTACACAGAGCCTCCTGTCACTGGGTGGGAGCTGCTGAGGGCACCTGTGGTTGTGAGGATCAGGGAGCTTTGAGGCTTGTGGGAAAGCCACCCCTTTCTGCTCCTTTCTGGGAGCATGATCCATGATCAGGGGCTTTGAGGCTTGTGGGAAAGCCACCCCTTTCTGCTGCTTTCTGGGAGCATGATCCATGCCTGTAGTTCCATTTCCATTTGCTGGTTTGGCTAAAGGCAGTTCAGTAACCTGGGCAGGTGGGTTTTGCTGTTTTTTCACCATTTGCACTGAAGAGTAGCAGTGATGCTTCTGGCTTGGCATGCCATCAGACAATGAAGGGTGTGCCTGTGTCTGTCCAGCTGTTGTTGAGCTGGAGGCTAAAAATAATCCCCTTTTTATCACCTCCAAAACAGCTGAAAGGCAGAAATGAGGAAATCTTGGGTTCCTGGAGTTATTGAAGCTTCTGTCTTCATCCCAAGGACATACAGGGAGTGGGTCATCATTTAACACCCCCTTATATTCCAAGATGAATTTAATATTTGGGTACCTTGGGCAGGAGAGGAGTGAGGGGTTTAGAGCGGGATGACAGCAATGGGATAACGCACTGGGCCACAACAGGATTTGTCTGCTCTTAGCTATGCCAAGAGATGCTGTGTGTTGTATCTCCCACCTCCATGCTACTACCACCTGCTAGATTCCTTGAGCATCTAAATGCTGACAGCTCATGGTTTTTTTTTAATTTTTCAAGATCAATGAATAGATTCAGCCTTTCAGTTATAGTGGATGAGATTTTTGTGACTGGGTTGTTGTGGAGTATTATTTTGAGGTAGGGTTTTTTTGCATTTTTTGTTGGTGTTGTGGGGATTTTTTGTTGGTTGGTTTGGAGTTTTTTTGGTTTGTTTGTTTGGGTATTTTTTGTTAAACACAGTTGTGGTGTTCAGCTGTTTAACTGCATATGGTTTTTCCACAAGGGGATGCAGGTGCCTGGATTCACAGGCTGCTGCTGATTTAATAGCAGGGGAAAGGAGGGATTGCAAGAGGCCTCTGTTGCATCCCTCTCCCTTCCCTCCTATTTTGAGTCATATATTTGTACATTATCTACAGGAGATCAAATCAAATTCCTGTGCCTGGCACAGAAGCCATTCTGCTATTGGAGAGGTGACTTGTGCTGCCATTTAGCTCAGCACTGAGAATATATCCTGGAGATTTTCAAGGCACTGCTATTCCTAAACATAGAGAGAGAAAGTAGCATCTCTTAGAGTCAGCCTGACCCTTGAGTGGAATCAAGCTTATGAGACTTACCAAATGCTGCGTGTGTTTATATTAGTAAATATAAGTGAAAATTTCTGATACATTTAAATTGCACAAGGAAAAAATCAGTGAAGTTCTGTTCTATTTCTGTCTGAAAATAGATAATGCATTGTGTACTGCGCTTGGTTGTAGTGTGGGACAAGATTTATACAAAAACAATCATCTTTTAGGGAAGAGTACAATACTTCTTAACAGTGTCATAGAAACAGACTATTTACTCAGCAACTTAAATAAAAAACTTTTATAAAATATGCATAGGCTTATTAGTGTTTTATTGTGAAGTGCAAAAATGTCCATGCTTTACTTATTAAGTATTAATTTAAACTGAAATAGTAGTAAGTTAGTCACCAGGCAATTATTACTGGCCTGGAAACTTACATTAGTTTCATTCAATGGGAATTTTGTAACCCATATTCTTTCTGTAATTTTCCCTTAACATAGGTGCTGTTCTTGGGAAATATGTGAAATTAAATGAAGCTTCTCTTTTGACAGAAAATATTCATGCACATCTGCAGGCAGAAAATCAGCCATATGCACTAGGAGGTTTTCACCAACAAAAATGTCTTCTCTCAGTATTATTATCTCAGTGGTAAAACAAGATGTAACATCCAACATGATACTGATTCTTCAGGCAGGTCATAGAAGTCTGGTTATGATCCTCTTCTTTCATAAAACTAAACAAGACTTTCTCCCTTCGTTTCCAGCTTGAGCAAGAAATATGCAAAAGCTCTTTGTCTGTTCTTTTCAGCAACTGTTACTTGGGATAATTTGTGAGAGATGCCTTGAAAAAAGTCAAGTTGTCCTTTAGCTTTGTGGGAGATGATCTGGCACTGTTAAAAGGCAGTTGATGTGTGAATGGTGATGGGGACGTCAAGAAGCCCTTGGCATTTGCTCATTCAGGATTGATTGTTTGAGACTCCCTGTGTGATGCCAGCTGTCGTGATTTGTGTTAAATTGCAAGAAATTAGTTCCAAAAGCAGGCCCTGATGAGCCAGGAGGCTGGGATAACAGGAGGGGAAAATAGGATGCCATTCAAATTTCCTGCTAGTCTGGCTGCAGGAAGGTTTCTTCTGGGAGTCTGTTGGCAGGCAGACCACCGGGGAATGGCATGGGCCCTTCCCTTGCTTAGTAAAGTTAGGAACACAAATGTAGTAAGAATTACTTTTGCAAGGATTTTGTACTGGTTTTGACCCCAGAAGTTTCAAAATTTAGATGAAGAAGTGCCAAGAGTAAATTCTACACCAGCAGGAAGCGTCCTCAATAAATCTTAGAACAAATAGCTCTGCGATGTAGATAAATGTGTTTCTGGAGGTAACCACGGGTGGTGGCAAACATACAGCCATTTTTCATGGTGTCTTTATGCAATTATGAAGATACTTTGTCAATGTGATAGGAGGAGGGAAGAGGGCAGAATCCTCCTTAAAATGCTAACATAGTGCGTTGCAAAGCACCAGGAGGAACGAAGGGTTTTCTGTGCGGGTTTTGTTACTTGGCAGGGTCTGCTATGACTAAATCTCCAAAGACTGCTGTTTCTTTTTATTTTTTATTTTCTTTAAAGTTGCATTTATTTATGTATAATACAGCTTGTAAGCGAAAAAAACCCAGCCTCACCTTATCAGACCATGTATGGGCTTGCTTTGTAAACTGTTTCTGACTGCCTGCTCAACATGACTGGAAGCTGTGAAGGCTCAATTGAGTCACTCACTTGTCAGACCTCAGAGTTCCCATGCTAATCACAAGGAGCATGTGCAAAAAGATCCTCTTCAGCTAGGCTTCATGTGCCCTCTGTTATTCTTCCTTTGTATTGTTACATCTGTTGATTTTTATTTTTTTTTAATGTTCATCATGCAGCAAGGAGTGTTCTTCAGAAATTGTGAATTAAATATGTTCTTTTACAAGGAACAAAGCCAAGTGGCTAAGGCAACAGCCTAACTTTAATATCTCTGGTTAACAAAACACTTGCCTAAAGCAAAGCCAAAGCACCTCACAGGAGTTTTTCTTTCAATGGGAATTTATTAGAATTATTTATTAAAATGAAAAAAGACATTTTTGCACTTCTATGATTTGGGTTGGAGAGAAGTCAGCACCAGATACTTTTTGCTCAAGTTGTTGGATCTGAAAACAAATGATGACCAAACCAAAATAAACAAATGACTCTACTTTCTGCAATTGCGATGTAATGGGAACCAGACTGGAATCCAGCGAGGCTGCAGATAGAGCCCCTGCTTGCTTTGAAACTGCAGTCAGTGCCTGGCTCTGTGTGTGGGACACCCAGCAGCGTGTCTGGGATGGGCAGCACAGCCCAGCTTGGCTGTGCTGCAGCTCTCCCATCCTCCCAGACCCACCTTAGCTGTCCCTGCTCCAGCCACGGCACCGCTGGAACCCACAGCAGGGATTTTGGGAAATCTGGGGGCGTTTGGAGGAGTGGAAGGGGTTTGTAGGAGATAGGGAACAACAGCATTGTCCAGCTATGAGACTGCTTCTAATCAGGTTTTAGTAATCAGTCAAGGGAATGTAAGCACTAGATATGCTTGGGGTTTAATTAGTTTGCTTTCTGGAAATCCTTTCTTTGTTGGTCTGTGAAAAATTACAGCTGTCAACTAAAATTTGGGCAGGAATCCTCTGTAATTGTTTTGGAAGAGATTCTTCCAACATAGATTTAAGCTTCTGAAGTGTGATTTTCCTGAAAGTGAGGATGTTTAGCACTGGCTGAAATGGAATAGGACAGGATGAGTTCCCTGGCCCTGGCAGAGGAGGGCAAGTCTGCTGAGTTCCCTTGGCATGTCCTCCTTCCATCAGTGGGTGAACAAGGCTGTTACATCCACCCTCACTTGAAGGAGAGTAGCTAATAGTGTAAGGCTACTGGCTTATCGTAGGTTTGTTCAACAAATCTAGTAAGCGTACACCCATTTCCTCTTTAAAATAAAAAAAGCCTACACTAAGACCTCTTATTTCCTTTCCCCTCCCTTTTACACAACTGTAATGCTGTTGAGAAACAGCTGCAAGCACTTGAGAAACGCTAAATGAGGGTTAGAAATGTGCAAGCAGATGCTCAAAAATGTTCGGCTTTTTGTTGTTTTTTCTCTTACTTCTCTTCATCAGATGCTTTTGTGTCTGCATTAAGCACAGTTTATCATCTTTTTTATGTAGGCTGAATACCACATGCAAGAAAAATTCCGTTGATTTAAGTAAATTACTTGTTTGTGCTCTCAGTAGTGCAAGTCCAGTTGTATTTCAAGTCATACCCACAGAGTAAGATGGAAACTGTGTGGAAGTAATCCAAAACCCTGTGTCCCACCCCTCCTTTTCTCTGCCAGTGTTTAATTATTGGAGGTGGCCCCTGTGGCCTGCGGACTGCCATAGAGCTTGCCTTCCTGGGAGCCAAGGTTGTCGTGGTGGAGAAGCGGGACACTTTCTCCAGGAACAACGTGCTGCACCTCTGGCCCTTTACCATCCACGACCTTCGGGGACTGGGAGCAAAGAAATTTTATGGCAAGTTCTGCGCAGGATCTATTGATCACATCAGTAAGTATCTGAGGGCATGGGCACTGTTCAGATAAGAGCTTGCCTGGATCAGAAGATTGGTGGAGACATTTGTGGTTTGGCAGAAAGTTCATCTACTTTAGCCATGTGCCAGTGCATGTGTGCACACAGAGAGGAAAATAAAATGGTCTTGTTTAAGCAAGGTGGAAATAGAACAAGTTACAGTCTTATGGAGCAGATTTTCTTGTTAGTCTGGTATGATTAAACAACAGGTTTTGATTATGAGGTATGAAGAATATTGATATTTATTCCAGTATGTTGAAGGTAGGCACAAATAACAGAATGGACTATTTTACAGGGAAATATGCTGTAAAATTTTGTATTCTAAAATGTGCTGGTTAGCAGATATTTTAAATGTCATCAAGAGGCAAACCTCTACAAAATCATTCTAAGAAACTCAGCTGAAATGAGTTTTGCCAGCAAGATTGTGCTGCAAGAGGAAAGGGAGGCGGAAGAGAACAACATCCTGTGGTAGTTGCTATGTTTGCATTCATTACAGTATGGGAAATGGAAATGCTGCACACTTGTGTTAACAATGAATTTCAGTTCTCTAGCAGGCTGGTGGCAGCTGGGGTTGCTTACTTATCAAATACATCTTTGTCACTTGCTCTCCACAGGTATTCGACAGCTTCAACTCATCCTCTTCAAAGTTGCACTTATCCTTGGAGTGGAAATTCACGTGAACCTGGAATTCGTGAAAGTCCTGGAGCCTCCTGAAGATCAAGAAAACCAAAGTATTATTTATCATAATACATTCTGCTCACAGCGACTTCTTTTTGAGCCAGGTGTTACGTGAAGTTGCATAAGGCAGTCAAACACTGTTTACAGAAATAAAGAGTTTTTTGCCCTCCTTACTCAGCCAGCCCTGTTCTGTGCAGTGTGATGAGTATCAGTGTGACAGAGCACTGATAAATCTTAAAACACAGCCCAGGCTGAGAAGCTCAGGTTTTGCGCTATGCCTTCTGGCATGTGTTTGAGGCTTTGTAGGGAGTCTGGTGTGGCTTCTCAGGATCTTCTTGATAATATAAACATTGAGGATGGATGAAGTGCCCAGGGCCTTGTTTTTGCATTCACGTTTGATAGAACGCCCACTGGCACACAGACTCTTATCAGCATTCTTATGCAAGATTTTTAAACAATAGAAAAAGATTCTAATTCTCTATTTTTTTTTAAATATTAGTTTTTTGGATGTAGTATCCATTTTAAAATTTTAATTTAAACTCTCTGGTATCTCTTCAAAGGGTCACATAGTGACAGCAGAACAAGCATATTAGTTTAAATAAAGTATATATAATTTTAAAACACAGACAGTACAAACACTTTCACATAATCAGCTTTGTAAAAAGAATAAATTTAACTTTGTGAGTATGCTTCCATTTAATTTCTGTTTAGAAGACAATTAAAAGCCCTGATGATGGAATGCTATTTTTCCTCTTTTAGTAGCCAGTTCTTTCTTGCAGTAAGCACATGTATGTACTGCCCTGGTAAGGTGGCTGGGGGGTTGTTTCTGTGAGAATCAAGTGCTTGAGCATCTTCTTGTGGTGTGGCTCTGAGAGGAAGCTGCTGCATTAGGTGATCCAGAGAATGAGAAATGCACCCCTGTATCTCAGTGCCCTTTCCTCAGACTCTGAAATCACTTCTCTGTTGTAATACTGAAGAATTAATAAATATTACTTGTATTTTCAGAGATGGGTTGGAGAGCTGAGTTTCTCCCCATGGATCACCCTTTGTCAGAGTATGAATTTGATGTTATCATTGGTGCAGACGGCCGCAGGAACACGTTGGAAGGTGGGTGAATGTGTGGTTTTAGCCTTATTACTGTCTTTAGGGTACCTTGAACGATCTGAAAGTCAGAGCAAAGAAAGAGACAAAGCAGCAGGTTACCTTTCAATCCATGGAAGTCTGTGTGAAAGCTGTTATTTCATGTGGTACCTTTTGGTTTTGTTGTTCAGTCGTAGCTCAAAGTAAAAGACATTTAATGTCATTACTGCTTCTGAGCTCTGTATGTTTGCCCTGCCTACAGAATGCATTGTGGTGCCATTGGGCTGGCTTCAAGGTTAAGTAATTATATGATGATTTAACTTGGAGGAAGCTGACAAGATATAGGTCAGGAATGGCATAGCTTTTGCTGTTGTGCTGTGAATTTGCCCTGTGTGCTTGAACTCGTGACTAAAAGGTGACTGTCAGGTATTTAATGAAGGCAACAGAGGCTTTACTTCTTTGTAAATGAGACTGAACTTCAGAAGCAGCTCCTTTAGAAACAATGGTAAAAGGTAATAAATATCTCTAAGGTTTGTGGGAGTAGAGGGTGTAAATGTTTCCTGAACTTGAGTCACTGCTGAGAATTCAGAGCACCTGAGCTGTGTTTCTTAGAGAGACACTGGCTAAGCTGCTCCTGCATCACAGGAACAAACCTTTTACTTAATTATGCATTTCCCTTTTAACTCTAATTATATCCAAGCTAGTTTCCATTCTCTTAAGTACGCTTTTTCCTTTTTTTTTATTGGCTTTGTAGTTTGTCTGCTTATTCATTTATCTGCCAACTACAGTGTGCTTACAGTTAATTCCTTGTAATGCTGTACTGGAAATTTCCCTACACTGTTATCTGGCTGTCCCCCATAAAACACTGTTTAAATAGTCAGGCACCATCAAAACCTAATTATTCTTACCTCACCTGCAGACTCTGTCAAGAGGTTAATGTTTATCATCATACCAGGATCTAGGGGAGTGATAGGTGCACTGAAGATATGTACAGAAGCTGGTGTTGTCTTACCAAATCCCAATGAAATAATGAGAGTATATCAAGAAGCACAGAGAAATAAATCCATAACCAGTTTATTCCTTGCTATAAAATAACATATTCATACGATATCATCTGCAGTGAGCCAAAAATACACTAAGGATCCTCTGTTCTACTTCATAATTTAGTAACAGAAGAGGGGAAGATACAGATGGAAAAACTTCAATGTGTGATTGCAGGATTGTGGCTCAGGGGGCTTTTTTTCAGTGAAAAACGAAAGCAGAGATGGAGCAAGGAGCTTCTCAGTTGGTCTCACCTTGGTAATATAACAGTTAACCCTCTAAATGTTTTTCAATTCCAGATACCTGTGGAAAATGTCATTAGCTGGTAGTGTGTGCACCTAAGCACTGCTACAGAGGTTTCTATTTTTCACATCATTCTCTGCTGCTTTTTGACTGATGATTTCTTGCATATTTTTTCAAGAGCTGTTTACTGCCTATATAAGAAATACCTAACTTGCCATTTAGCATGTTAAAAATGTCTCCCTCCACTGAAATTGACCTGTTGTATTCCCAGACATGTAAAAAAAAAAATTTCCACGTTTTTCTTTAGTTATAGTTTTTCCTGAAGTTCTTCCCTTAGTTCCCCATCCAGCCATTTTTCAATGAGACTTTATCTTGAATGCAGTGCAGCTCTAGTTGTGCAGCTGAAAATGGGGAGAAAAGACTCCTTTACATTCAGAGGAATTTTGGAGGCATGGTGGAATCTACTGACGGCATGTTGTTTGATAAGTGTAGGAAGGACATTGAGCTGACCCTCCCTGAAAGTCCACTCTGAAGCTTGCAGTGGTTTTAATTCCTGTCTTTGCTCCGCAGGCTTCAGGAGGAAGGAATTTCGTGGGAAGCTGGCTATAGCAATCACTGCCAATTTCATAAACAGAAATACAACTGCAGAAGCCAAGGTAGAAGAAATCAGTGGGGTTGCTTTCATCTTCAATCAGAAGTTCTTCCAGGACCTGAAAGAGGAAACGGGTGAGTGCATCCTCATTTTTTCCACTGCCAAATACAAGAGGCAGCAGGGCACAACTCTATGTGCCAGGCCACCCTCTTGTTACTGGTAACATCAGTTTTGAATAATCTGTGTAAAATATTTCCAAGTGATAAAATATTGTTGATGTCAGAAGCTTGCAGATGGAGGTGTCCATTTATGGTACAGTGGGATATTTTTTTAGCTTGGGTGTTGCCACATCATGGCTTGTTTTAGTGTTTAAATTTTTCTCAACTGCAAAAATGTCTGCTATGTTGAACAAATTTGGAAGAGCATTTTCAGGGCCCAGAGATTTTTCCTTAAGACATGATTTGTTTTGTTTCTATCCGTTCACATGCTGAACAGCTTAAACCCTTTGAAAAAATCTCTGCCCTTCTGGGAGGAGTTCATTCTTGCTTTTTGATGTGTGGAGCTGATAAACTGAGAAGACCTAGAATCTGCCATAAATACTAAAAATATAAACTGTGAAACACACCTTAATGGAAAGGGGTTTCAGAATAGTTGCATTCACTGTTTTTTAAAAAAAATTACTATTGTAATTGAAACCAAACCCCCTGGTTAGACCCAATGCCAGAGCCCTAGCAACCTGAAAAACACTTTGCTCCCTTGGCACCCAGTTCTACCTCAGGAACTGTTAATGCTGTAGTTAACTAGATGTTCCCTGAAAGAATGCTGAATAACTTTAAACTGTGCTGAGAAAAAACTGCTGTTGGGCGATGTCACCCTGATTTTTTAAGTTTTTCTAAGCCTTCTGATTCTTTTAACAAACTTTCTCACACACTTTATGTAAATAACTCATTGTTTTGCATTCTTTTATGGAGGAGGAGAAATTTGATGGACTGTTGGTTTGTCCAGTGTCATTGGAGAGGTGGCACTGTCACCCTCCAATCCACTGTCAGTTTTGGAAACGTATAAATGTTGGAGTCAGAAATTAAAAATTCTCTTTTTGCCTTGGAAGAGCTGCATGTCCGCATTGTGTTATTTTTTGTCCTACAGTGACAGGGTGAGACCACTGTCCTCCCTTGTTTTGTTGGACAGCATTCTGCCCTCTAATCCTTCATCCCAGCTGGGAGAGGGGATGCAGCCCAAGAAGGAAAGGCACCTGCTGGGATCAGTCCTGTGCTGTTGGTGAATGACACGGGCAGAGCGCTGCCTTCAGTGACAAATGTGCCTGTCTCTCTTTTCAGGGATTGACCTGGAGAATATTGTTTACTATAAAGACAGCACGCATTATTTTGTGATGACAGCAAAAAAGCAGAGTCTTCTGGACAAAGGAGTGATTATTAACGTATGTAAAAATGCTGGCTAAACCCTGTTTTATTTACTTGGCACAGAGTAAGTGTGAACATCTGCATAAATGTTGCTGGATGTTAGACAGGGTGTTTATAGACTTAATCACTTCATTCAAGCTCAGGCCACTTGGATCTTACTCTGACATTTTTAGGATTTGCTTTTTCCCTTCAGTCAGCTCAAAGTTTCAATAGAGAACTGAAAACAATACTTCCTAAATTAATCAGTTTTGAAACTGGCTGAAATGGGATCTTGACTCACCTTGGAAATTCGTGGTGGGATCGTCACAGCAGAAAATAAAAACCTCAGTTATTTAAGGGTGAACTTAGCACAGCTATGTTCAGTTTTATCAGGCAAGTAAGGAAGTGTAAAAACCTACCCTAGGATAAATTGCAAATTCTTTAAAGTGGGTGAAACATAATAGAAGAAGGCTATAAACATGATGGCCTGACCTTTCAGGGGTATGTGTGATTTTGAGGTATTTTTTTCTTTCTTTTTTTTCCTTCTTCTGTAAAATATAGGGTTTATTTTCTTTTGTTTCTAGGAAGTGTTATGGCACCACTTAAATTTCCTTTTCTGGAAACCCAATAGAGTTCAATTTTTCTTGGAAAGCAAAGCAGTGCCAAAACAGCCAAGTGTGATTTCCTGAAGGAAGTACTTGTGGGGAGCTGTTAAAAGGGCTTTTGGCTTTCTAATAGGACCACTCAGCTCAGGGCCATGATTCCCTGCCCTTTTGGAGGCCAGGGGCTCCCAGGGCAGAGCTGCTGTCCATGACCAACCAGGGCGGGAGAGAGGAAGGGTCAAACCCCTTGGTCTAAATGCAGTGCCACTAGAGCTTGCAAGGGATGGTGTTCAGGAAATATTATATCAAGTTTTTGTGCATTCTAACTTAAACTGTTAATGGGCTTTGGTAAATCAAGCCCACCGTCTTCTACCTCCTGGAGTTCGTTGGCCTCAAGCTTTGTTCAAACATAGGCAATTTTTTTCCCTCTTTATTCTTTCTTTTTTCTTTTTCTTTTCTATGAAGTGCAAGTAACTTCAACTGTACAGTAAATGCACCAAGTAACACAAAATAAAATAAATAAAATAAAGTAAATAAATAAAAGCCCCATGGCATTTTTCACATACTTGTGGTTCTGTAAAAGATGACCTATGACATTGAGTTCAGTTTCTTCCAGGCTCACTAGATTACTTGAACCCCACTTGAAGTTATAACAGCTTGGAAATGGAGGGACTAATATCAATTGTGTATTTTTCATTTCAAGCAATTTTCTGAAATCCTCTTTACTTTCAGTGATTGTGTGTCTATTTCCATACATAGGTGTCTGTTTAAGATGATGTTTTCGAGATGATTCATCACTGCTGATATGTGTAGGCCCTGAGATTGTGGGGCCTGTGTTTGTAGGTGAGGGCAGTCCCAGGGGATCTGTGGGGACTTTGGAGCAGAGGAGCAGCAGCTGTGGCTCATCAGAGCTGTTTTCATGGCCTACTCAGCTCTGAATGGAAAAAAAATCAACCACCCCAGTGTGTCTGGTGCAACTGGGCTAATAGCAGTTCTGTGGCATCATCTGTGATTAGGGGTCTCATCCATGATTAGGCTGGAAATAGAACCTCATTATCACTGCCTTTAAGTAGGATGACCTATAAAGGCAGGGTCCTTTACCACTCTCCCCAAGGAAAAACGTGACCCAAAAATGAACAGAAAAGCTGCTACAGTCCAGGTTTGAGTGTGGAGTTGTTACTGAGATGTCGAGTCAAACCTTGAGGCTGAGCCCCCATGCCACAGCATCAGTGCTTCTGCTCTCCTGTGGTTTCAGATGGGGGGTGCACGTGTGCAGAAAAGCATTGCAGTGATGTGGATGACATCTTTTGATGCGAGGGAAGTAATGTTCTGAAAAGATCACATCACCAAGGAACCGGGAGGAGCTGTAATTTTCTGTTGCAGACAAAGCTGCTGGTTCAGCGTGGGCAAGGAAAGTTTCTGTTTGGGGCAGTACCTGTGCTTGTGCATTGGCTTTTTGGAGATGACAAGTGTCACTTGTTTCTTGCTGCTGTGAGATGTGTGGCTCCCAGTCCTGCTGTGAGACTGCAGTGTTCCAGTTCAGAGAGGACATTGGAGTCTCTCATCCCAAATCCTTCTTCCTTGCAGGACTCTGTTGACACCGAGCTGCTGCTCTGTGGGGAAAATGTGAACCAGAGCAATTTGCTGTCCTACGCCAGAGAAGCTGCTGACTTTGCAACCAACTACCAGCTGCCTTCCTTGGATTTTGCAATTAATCATTATGGCCAGCCAGATGTAGCAATGTTTGATTTTACCTCCATGTATGCATCTGAAAACGCTGCACTGGTGAGAGAGAGGCACAGACATCAGCTCCTGGTGGCTCTTGTTGGAGATAGTTTGCTTGAGGTATATCTTGGAATGCCTTCCAAGTAGTATTTTCAGGTGTTTTACTTTACTTCCTTAATCCAACCATTCAATCTAGCCTCCTGTATAAAATGTCCTCTTTTACGTGTCTGGAAACAGTGGTGCCTTCTTTGGAATAGATTTTCCCCCTTTTTTCTTTTCTCCTTTATTATGCCATAGTTTGTCATAGCTAATGCTTGGCTGGCAGCCTCTGGCTGAGATCCCATTTTGCTTTATGCAAGTTGTGTTTCTGTCTGAAAACTGTGAGCTCCGTGTCCTCAGCTTGGGTGCATGGCATAATTTTACTGAATTCCATCATAGACAAAAACTTGATCCAAATTATTATTGCAGTCACTTTGTCTTAGTATGTTCCCTTTTTTTTCTTTCTGAAGTGAAAAGTGTATGCTGCAACTTTTTTTTTTTTAATTCATGCTGACAGCCTGAGGCATTTGTAAAGAGCAGTCCAAAGCAAATTTAGGAGGTGAAAAGGGCATCTTTTTTTTTCCTTTAATAATTCTTGAGTCTTCTTTTTATCCTCAACCTATACCTTTTAGGGCTAAGAAATTTGTTTTTACATGTAGAAGTTAAAAAAAAGGAAAAAGTGAAAAAAGTGATCTTCTTCCCCTGCCTAAGACTTAAAGGAGAGGCACATTTAAAACCTGTGTTGCCTTTTGACTCTTTCTGGGCTATTTTTCCAAGACAGTATGTAACCCTGGACTCCAAATTGACATTGAAAGTTACTGTTGTGGTAAGAAGTTAGGAAGTGCAGAGAACTAAAGTGTCACTGCTCCTTGCAGCCCTTCTGGCCCATGGGCACTGGCTGTGCCAGAGGCTTCCTGGCCGCCTTTGACACGGCGTGGATGGTGCGGGGCTGGGCGCAGGGGAAGCCCCCGCTGGAGGTCCTGGCTGAACGGTGAGTGCTGCTCTGCCCCCCGGCATTCCCAGCCTTTGAAAGAGCCACTGCAGGGCAGGGGTTTTCAGAATGCTATCAGGAGAAATAGTATTAGGGTTTAAATCACTGATTTATGGCACTAAAGTGTGGTCCTTAAAGAAATAGAGCAAAGGGACCTTGTATCAAAAAAACCCTGAACCTCCAGCCATCTCAACACCTGTTTTTTATCATCAAAATAAAAAAAAAAATCCTGAAAGGAGTCTAAATGAATTCTTCAACAGTAACAGCTTTCAGAGTTGGTCTCTGTGATTTTTAACTCTGCATTTTGGCGTAGTGGTGCTCTCTTTAGGCTGATAAATATGTGGAGAATTATTATAATGCTGCACCAGAAAATTTTTTTGACTGGAGCAACAAAATCTGTTGCTAAGTACAGCAGCAGTCTTGGCGTCATCATGGTCTGATGGTTGAATTTGCTGACTTAGGTCCTGCTGGCAGCCACCCTGCTCTCCTACAGCTGCCCAGGCTGTTTTGGGGTAGATATGTAATAGGAAGAGTCATGGTTGTGGGAATGCAAGCAGGAGCTTTACTAACTACTGCACTTTGGGAATGTTTAAGGTAGAAGCCTGTGGGATGACTCAAACACGGCCTAATCCCAAATGGAAAATTGAACAGCATAGTAAAAAAAGCTGTGGTGGTTATAGGAATTGCAGGATGACAGGATTTAGGGCTATTATGTGGTAAAAAAGTTACTTCTTGAGTAGATGTTAAAGCAAAACCAGATGACTAGATGATGTAACCTCCTTTTTTTTCCCTCCTTTTTCTTGTTCACTTCCTGCCTCAGGAAAATGTGGGCATAATCTCTAAGTGTCCATCCTGTCCTTTTTCTGTCTGACATTCTTCTGCTGAGTGGGGATAAGGAATGGGATGGATAAATTATGCATTTGGTCCCTAACACTTGTCTTGGCAGAAACAAAATGAAGTTTAGGCAGCTGCAAAAAACCCCCGATCTCTTATAAATAAATATTTATTTTAATACATAAATCTTGCATCTTTTTCCTCTCCAAGAGAGAGCATTTATCGACTCTTGCCTCAGACAACCCCTGAAAACATTAATAAGAACTTTGACCAGTACACCATTGACCCAGGAACAAGATACCCAAACTTGAACTCGAGCTGTGTTCGACCTCACCAGGTCAGTACTTAAAAGACTTGTTTGTGAAATCAGTTCTTTTTTTATCAAGAGTAAATAGGGCTGCAAGGGGCGTGGAAACAAAATCTTCAGGAGACTCCTTAATTTAGAACCAGCTGCTGATAAAGTTAACCTGGAAACAGAACTGGTTTTTTGTCTGATGTTATGCTGGTGATTGCTTTTCCTTGTAGGTGAGACAATTATATGTTACCAATGAGCTACAGCAGTGTCCTCTTGAGAGAGTGAGCTCCATTCGAAGATCAGTGAACCTCACAAGACAGGGTAAGTGGCATCTCCTGTTTGCTGTGGCTTAACATTTCTGGCCTTCTGAGCATGAGAAGCTGACTGAAAGGTTTGCTTTCCCCTTTCTGCAGAGTCAGATATTCGACCTAACAAGCTTCTGACGTGGTGCCAGAAGCAGACGGAGGGATACCGAAACGTCAACGTCACTGACCTGACCAGCTCCTGGAAAAGTGGCCTTGCCCTGTGTGCCATCATCCATCGCTTCAGGCCTGACCTCATGTAAGTGACAGCAGGGGAACTCCTTGGCTGAGGCATTTGCAAAGGGCAGGGTAAGACCAGGGCAGCCCTGGCGCTCTGCAGTCCCCTTGTGTGGCTGCTTCCTGCAAGGAACTGCACACCATGGCCAGGTGTGGAGCGGGAAGGGTGGGGTTGGGTTTGCTGTGTTTCTTCTAGATGTCCTTGCATGCTGTTTAGAATGAAACAGATGTGCTTTCAAAGAGCTAGGAGGGTTTTGAACCCTGTGATATATCGTGTTTGTGGGAGTCATGTGTCTGTTTAAAACAAAATTGGCAGTTTTGGGGGAATGGGTAGAGCTGTGTTCCCAGATCCCTGGAGACAGGTTTTGGTGTCTGTTTGAAACCACAGCCATGAAGCACAATCCTCTGTTGCAGAAATGCTGGGTGAACCTGAATGAGCCATCCTCCATGTGTTGTACTGGTTGCTGTGACAGTCAAAGAGGGAAATGTTGGACTGTGGAGATGGAGATTTTGCACAACTCTGTCCAGGAGAGCACAGAGTCCTTTCATATGGGCAAAGCAAGGGCTGGGCCTTGAAAATTAACTGCCCTAGGGCTTGAGTGTAAGCCAGCATTCCCCTTTTGGCACAGTTTCTGGGGTCCTAGTGCTGCATGCCCCAACTCCGTGCATCTGAATATTTTGTAATGTCCCATAGTTAGATACAAGAAGGTCAGTGTGTAGCAGGTGTCAGGAAATAGCAATTGCTGGCACCGCTGGGTGCAGTCAGCAAGGTGACTCTCTCTCCTCACCTGTCTCCAAAATGCAGTGGATGCATTCTCTTGTCTTCCTACAGAGCCTTAGGAGTCACACATGAATTACTGTTATCCTCCCTTTATTGTGGATAAATGAAAGGAATGATTGAACTTTTTTATGAGGTGTGATAAATTGGAAAAGAATAGGAGTGGTACCTAGAGTGCTTGTTTGTACAGTTTTGCCAGAGGAAGAGCTGAGATTTTAAGAGCAGGAATTTTTTTTTGGCCTTGGGTTGGTTTAAAAGAATTAGAATTCTGGATGTTTTTGGGAGAGTGGATACAGAAAGCAGAGTAATCTTTGCTGACTGTGGAAAACATGTTCTCTACAGTGCTCTCTACAAGGTCGATAAATTTATCTTGAGCTAACAGACCTCCTGCTGTTCAATTAATGTTGTGTTTGGATCTTGTTGGCTTCTTGCATTCAGTGAGCCTGCTGAAGGACTTGGCTGGATGAAAGCTAGGCAGGCAGGAGAGGTGGCTGCCAGTGACAGCTCCCAGCTCCAGAAATGGGCAGTGGGTGAGTGAGGGAAGAGGAGAAGTTCTTTGGGAATTCAAAAACTCGCATTCCACTGTGAGGAGAAAGAAACTACCCTGCCTGGAGCTTTGTAATTTATTTACATGTTTATTTTAGTCATGAATTTTGGAAGCTGTTCAAAAGATCAGAGTCTTAGAATAGATCTCATAGAAAATGGATTAGAGAGTGGATAACAGAGTTCCAGATGTGTGATGCACTTATTTAGTGCACTGCTAAATTCAGTTATGACCTGGGCAGGAGGTCCCTGCTCAAACCGTGTGCGTAACACATTAAAAAAGGAAAGGTAGTGTCTGTGCATGTGTGTGCACACACATAATATGCTACTTCCATAGAATGCTGTCCTAAATTTCTTCCTGCTGGCTTTGATGATTTATAAAACTATTTGAACCTAAGTAATCTCTTGCTAATGGATGAAGTCTGTAGTAGTTCAGCTGTATTTGGAGAAGGAAAAGGTTTGTTAGCACTTCTGAGGAAGAATTGCATCTCTCCAATAGATAAATTTTTTTTTTTGTGGGACCACATCAAGGTCCAGTTCAGTGAAAAAGCTTTTAAATTCCATTTCCGGCAAAGTCAGTATTTGCAATGAGGGGATTTGTGTGAGGGTCTTGTAGCTCAGTGAGATGCTGGTGCTGCTGTGCCACGGGAGCGCGGCGCAAACCGGAGGGGAGCAGGAACGAGCGATGCCGCTGTCTGTCTGTCCCCGCAGTGACTTCGATGCCCTGAACGAAGAGGACGCGGTGAGGAACAACCAGCTGGCCTTCGACGTGGCCGAGCGGGAGTTCGGCATCCCGCCGGTGACCACGGGCCAGGAGCTGGGCTCGGCCGGGGAGCCCGACAAGCTCAGCATGGTGCTCTACCTGTCCAAGTTCTACGAGCTGTTCCGCGGCACGCCGCTGCGCGCAGTCGGTGAGCGCCGCGCCCCGAGCGGCTGATGGGCGCTGCTCCCCAGCCAACAGGCTTGTCCCACTGAGGCACGGGTGGAATTTTCCAGAGTAGGAATCCATTTTGATTTAGGCAAAATGTAAATCTTTGAGTTAAGTCTGTAGTTTGCAAACATGGCTGTTCAGTCTGACTGCCTGTTCTCTCAGAGAAACTGCTTCAGCTGAAGGACAGAGACAAGGAGGGGGCAGACAGACAGAGCAGGGTCAAAATGAGCCAGGAGTTCTTTCTGATAAAGAAGAATTAGTGGCAAATGTCACATGAAATCAGTAAAATGAGCTTATTGTGACATTGCGTGCATATGCGTTTGAGAGGGAGGTAAAAAAGGATCTGGGGTTCCCAGAGGCACGCATGTCATGTTAGGGTGATGATCCCCACATCCAGCACTGTAATAAACATACCGGCTTTACAACTTCCACAAAAGTTGTGGAGTTTGTTTGCTCCCACAAATCACCAGCAGAGCCCTTCTGGCCTGCAAGAGTTACCTCAGGCTTAACACAGGAAATGGGGGAGAATTTGATTGGAGACCAAGGTTTTGTGGGTCCTTGGTGGTTTCAGGAGTAGGAGCAGCTGGATGACTGCTGCTTGACATCATGGAGGGCATCTATCAAGTTGTTGGTGTGATTCCCTGGTAGCACATTGATGCTTGCGTTTCTCTCCTCCTTTTTCTAAAAAGCCACCCTACATTGTATGTATTTACTTTTATTTGTCTGTGTTTCTCATATACAATTGCTACCAGCACTCAACTGGAAAACTTTGGCTTAGAATAATTTAAAAACAAATCTAAGTAAATATCCTAAGCAGTTGTTTTTTCAACAGATGCTGCTGAGAAGCAAAATGGAGAAAATAATGATCCTGGTTCACTACAATCATCAAATTTCATCTTTAATAATTATATCAATTTAACTTTACCAAGAAAACGAGTACCAAAGGTGAGTTGTGAAGCAAGACTTGCCCTATGAATATTTTTTTCCTGAAAAGATGAAAATAAGCTTTCAGGCTCAGAAATAAGGTGTTTATATATACACTGCTATAATTTTCTGAGCTATTTCTACCTGTAAGAAAAAGAGTCCTATAGCTCTGTATTCCTGGAGTTAAATATACAGCCATTTTATTATATACCAGTTCAAATAATCAGTGCTATGCTAGACTGTTTATTGACTGGGAGGGAGTGCTGCTTGTTGAAAAAAGCAGTGATTTGCAGAGTTTGTGGATGCTGTCAGGGTTCTGAAGAGAAGCTTTCCAGCTCCTACAGAGGAAACCTGCAATGGTGACAAACAGTGGGCAGGTTGATCAGCAACTTTGGGATAACCATCTCTTAGTCATGCCCGTGTACTTTTCTCTCTTGGTTACTTATTAATGAAAACTTATTGACAGGCCCTGTTATATCCCTGTATTATAAAAAAATCCATGCCCTTACATGCTGTGATTAAGGACTACAGAGCCTTGAAGCTTTGCAGAGGCCTGAGTTAACACATGTACACATCTACTGCATTTCTCAGTATTTTAATATACTGCTTTTTAAATTTGTTGCTCTGTTGTCTTGTAGAAATGTGATTTCTATTTTTTTCACCTGAAGAATTACTCCATTATTTCCAGATACTTCCTACACTGACTTTTGTCTTGAATATTTTCCGTCCTGCAAACTCTTTTTGAAAACCTATGGACAATCAATTGTCCAGTAGCTTAAAATATCCTTGTTGGGAAATAATTTTTCCTGCCACCCACATATACACAAAACTAAGTGACATGGTTCCCAGATAGCCAAGCTGTGAGAAACCAAACAGGCAGAATAAACTTTGCTTTTTCTTGTGGGTGACTTCTTTAGAAGGAAAACCTTTATCATGACCACAGTGTTGTTTTTCAATGAGTTGCTTGCAGAAGTAAACAGACTTTTAGCAGTGGGGAGAGCTTTCCATTACTGAGCCATAGAGCCTCTGACTAACCTCTTGTCATGAAATAAGCCTTCTGTCATAGCAGTGCTGGAGTTCTTGGCAGTGCATGAAAGCACGAGGTGATTTGCTTGAAGGGCCCCTCTGGTTTCCCACCAGGGGAGCCCGTTGGAAATGAGAAGTGGAAGTGTTATTTCCCCAGTCAGCTTGGGAAACAAGGCATTGTGTGCGAGGTTTTGCAGCTCTGTCACGGATGGGCTGTGAAACCAAGCAAGGTGGGTCAGGGTTCTCGGATTAGGACAGACTTGGGAGTGCCATAACCAGCTGAAACTAGTTGGGAAATTAAACTCCTTGGAAAGCAATTGCTTGAGTTCAGGGTCTGGCTGTGGCTTCAGTTTTAGGGTTCTTTCCCCTGCAGAAAGTGGTGCTGAGCATTATCAAGGTGTATGTATATCAAATGTTCTGTCCAGGCTTTAGCAGAGCAGGGAGTGTTGCTCTCTGAACTTCCATGGCATGCAGTTTGTCCTTGGATCGGGCTGGAGGAGGGATCCTTATCTGGGCTGTGAGAGACCAGGAAGCGGGGCCTGGAGCTGGGCTGGCTGTGGCTGTTCTGGCAGCCTGTGCTGGGCTGGATCATGTTTTCCATTCTCCTCGGAGTGTCAGCCCGGCTGGAGAGGAACTGAGATTTCCTGTGCTCCAGACTAATAAATGAATGGAGGTGTTTACACAATGCAGGGCGCAGCCCTTTCTGAGTCCTGCTCGGCAATTAAATTGCTTTGTCTTTCACTTCTTTGTCAGCGTGTTAATGAGAGTCCTTTCTGCCCCATCTCTGAAAGGCAGCATCTTGCTTTGCTCCACTCACTCAAGCAAAATCTGCTTTTATGTGGCCCAGGCTATTATGCAGAATACATTGTGCTGCTCTGTGTTCACCCTTTCTGGGTGGACTGATGACTGTAGGTAGTGCAAAGCTGGGTTTTACTGAGCTGCTGCTTGAAAGACAACGTAGTAAAGCAAAGTAATTGAAATATTGTCATCTGAATCCTTTGGTGTTTGCCCACAGGTTGTTTGGGATTACTTGTCTTCATTGCATAATGATTTATTGCAAACAGTCTATATGTAAAAAGGAAGCCTGCATTCTTTGATCTTTCTTTATTTCTTTTTAAGGAATTCCTTTTATTCCTTTTATTCGTTTTTTAAGTTGGCTGAGCAGACACTAAGTTACAATGTGGGCAAATGCCAATAAGTGGAATATAGTTTATTGTTCATAAATTATCACCGTATCAAATCATCACGACTGAATGTTATAAGAAGTGATAAAAATTTGCCAGCATTGACTGCTTTTCAAGTTTGTGCAGACTGAGTATGAAGTATTACTGATTTGTGTAATCTCTAGTTGAGTAAAATAGTGAAATATGTTCATGGCTCGAGCATAAAATAAGCAATTTGGTTGCTTAAGTGTTGTAATGTTCAGCCATAGTCAGGGGGTGAACCTTATGAGGGAGACAGACCTTTAATGCAGCCAAAAATGAAAGTATGACTGTGCTATGAATCCATGATCTGCATGCAGACAGATGGTTCAAGAGAGATTTGGGGGTTACAGTGAAAGACTGAGGGGTTTCTGGATTTTGTTACTTCTCTGGAAAACAGTGCAGTCTAGCTGAAAATTCAGAGAATTACTCATGCTGTAAAACCTTTTTCTTCAAGGATGTGTTAATACTTTATGAGTTCTAAACTCCTCAGCACTGAAAGAGGGAAATATAAACACCAAGTTGTGGGGCCTGTTCAGCACAGTGTACAAGCATGTGTTCTCATGCACTGGAGTGCAGTGAGAGCTCCCAGTCAGGGGCTGTGTGATGGCTTTTACTGCCCTGACGCCTGCATGGGGAGCAGTCCTGTGAGCTGGGGGGTCTGACAGGGGGGCAGTGAGACCCCCTGATGCTGGCACTGCTCACCGTGTGTGCCTGCCTGAGCACAGCCCACCCCTCACCTGCCTGGGGATGGAGCTTCTCCTGGGCTGGGAGGAGCTGCTGGGGTAAACTTGGGAATTGCTGCAGTAACCCATGGAACTTGTTTTGGCTTTGCCCTTTCAGGCTGACGGGAAAACAGAAGAGAATGAGACGAACAAGAGGCGTCGGAAAGGCCTCTTTGGTGTCTTTGAGCAGGTTGGTGTTCAGTGGTGCCCGCCCGTGTCCACGTGGGCACCAGAGCTGGGAAAGCAGTGAGAGATGGCAGGGCAAGGTTTGGCCTTTGGAGCATGGCACAGAAAAATCCTCTCCCTTGAAATCTTGAATTTACTGTGGTGTGCACTAAAGAAGAGCTAAATGAATTTTAATCATTTGGGAGGGAGTAGAGCATTAACTAAATTGCGCTAGTTTTTGTTCTGACACAGGAACATTTCAGGTATTGGTTTGTTTTTCCTTTTCCTAATTGTCTATTTAGACAGTTTTTTATTTGAAGAGTTTACATTGCAGCTTGGTTTCTAGCCCTTCTCTGATTAGTCACCTTTGTGACTCTGCTTTATGAATAGCAGCACCGATTAATGTTCCCTTTTACTGTACTCTGGCACCCAAGAAAATATTTTTTGGGTGACTTTTGCATGCTAAACATGTCATTTTAGTATACTGCAGACTGTATTTCCTTTCACCCTTTGCTGAAAAGGATGTTACCTCTTTCCTCCTCTCCCTTCATGAGTGTTGTAGGAAACATAAGAAAAACACAGTTTGTTGTTTCCTTGCAGACTTCAGGCTTTCCAAGCCAGGGGACAAACAATGGGAAAGAACAGAGTGAATGCAGAGAAGGAGTGAACCAGAACAAAGTCAAATCTATGGCAACTCAGCTGCTGGCAAAGTTTGAAGAGAATGCTCCAAATACAGTTCTGAGGAGACAGGTAGGTCAGAGACGAACATGAAAGCATCTCTGAAATTGAGCTGTAGTCCCTCCTTGTGAAGGTCATGCAGATTTCCCAGGAAGGCAGGAGCCTCTTAGGTGTTTGGAGTGGGTTGTCTTTTTTAATACTTTATGCAAATTAAAAGTATTTCTCTCAATACAAGTCATATAGATTGACTAATGCATCTAACAATAACATATTGCCGTGTTATAGTGTCTAGGAATCTCATGGAAGCCAGCCTGTGGAATTTGTGTTATTTGGAAGTCTAAGGTGGCTGCATACAGTACTGCAGAAGGCCTGTTGTGGCCTGTGTTTTTCAAATAAAGGACACTGCATATCCTGTGGAGTCTGTCTTTATGGAAAACATAGGAAGTGTTAAAAGGAAACCTAATCTCTTGCAAGATATGTCTGGCTGCCATTTCCATTCCAAAACTAGGCAGAGTGGAATACATTTGTGCGTTGTACAGCGTTTTCATGGTTTGTTGTTAGTGTGACTAGAGGTATTTTAAAAACAATCCCATGCTGCCAAGGTAGAGGGGAGAAGCTCAAAATCACACTTCAGCCAGAAATAGTTGGAATTAGCAGAGTTTAGATCTGTCATCTGAAAGACCTGAAGGACGGATGAGCAAAGTGTGGATGTTTTGACAAAGATGGTGACTTTCTTAATTCTTCATCCTTGTATCTGTTTGTTTATTGAAATATTGAAATATCCTCCAGTACTGTAGGCTTTATAGATGTCCAGTGACTTTGTCTATCCTTGAACCAAAGTTGTTTGCACACTACCTGGCTACTTGTCAATGCCCTGAGCTTTCAGTGTGTGGTAAGTGGCCAGAGATTTCCTTGGCCATGCTGAAGGGAGTTATTTTGATCATAAGCTCTGTTAAAAAGTACTGAATGTGTTCATCTTGAAGTATATCTTTGATGGTAGAAGTTGCTAATAAAATGGGTAGGTGGCAAAAATATGCAAAATGTGGTGTTAAGCTTCATAGTAATGCATCTTTAAAATAAGCTTTTCTTTCTTTCTGCCTCAGAAATTCTTTGAATCCTATTTACTGTCTTCCTTTTTTTTTTTTTCTTCTCCTTCATTCTGTCTTTGCAATTTTAAAAATGCTTTACAAGGAGCTAACAGATAGACCAGCCCTGCTCTCCTCTGACCCTCCTGTTAATCCTCGCTTTGCTAAACCTATGGATCCAAGCCTTCTTCCACCTCAACCAAAAAGGCAGGTAGGAAGCTCCTGTGGGTAACAAACACCTGGCAAGCACAGCATTTCTCTCACTGCTGGGAACTCGCTGCTATTGCAGAGCTACATAAGATACAAAGCAATATTTGGATGGAAACTGCAGAGTTCACAGACACGTTTAGCTGAGAATTGTAAAAATGCCAGTAGAAATTAAAGGCTATTTTACACCTACTTTGCCAGACGAGAAAACTCTCTGAAAGTGTGGAAATACCCTGAAAACATAAGTGTTGATTTCTGTGCTACCATATCTAGACTCCAAATTGTATGAATGTTATTACACAGCTGCTTTTAACATGTGAGAAAACTACAGCAGTACCTGAAAATTTGTGCATATACCCAATGCTTTGGGTTATTGTAATGATAAGGCTAAGAGAGAAACCTGGCAAAAATATCTAAGATAAAGGCTTGAGCATGGAAAAGCTGATATTGGTGCCCAGGTATTTTATTTCTATAAGTAGAACTTGTGATAAGAATTTCTGCTGAAAGCTCTTTTGCAGCATCACATATATGGGGGAAAATGTAGTCTAAGTTTTTCTCTTAGTATTTTGACTGAAAGCAATCTTATCTCAAACAGTATTGATACTCACTTTTCATCAGAGTTTTAAATTGAAGTAAACATCCTGTAATGGCACTTCAAAAGCAGTCTGCAGTGAAATGAGATCTGTGTTGCATATGGAAATCAGCAGATCAGAACGTATTTTATATGAAAACTCAAATTCAGAGATGCATTCTGAACTCCTCAAAAAATGCCTTAAATCTGAAATACATTATATGCTGATATAGGTCAGACTAGATCTAGAACTACGACAAGAATGACTGTTGAAATCCTCATAAATATAATTGCAAGCTTAGTTTTAGACAGATGTGCTGCTAAAAAACCCCAACCCAAAACCTTTGCTGTAAACCCTGGAGGAGGATGTTGTTCTGCACTGCTGCTGTCCGAGGTTACTCACAAAAACTCACAAGTGTGCAGAAGGATGTCAAGGCCTGCACAAGTTGTGTAGGACTGACTTATTTCAGTGCATGTGCACAAGCACCACAAGTGCAGTAGACAGTGTGCAAAGAGTGATGTGAGAATATTTTATTTCTAGTTATGTGCATGACTGTGCCGTTCTTTCGGAAGCATCCTTAAAAGCTGCATATCCTGCATGGTAGTGCAGAAAGCAGAGTTTTGTTCACTTCAAGTGTTTCCCAGTTTCAGGTGGTAGCTAGGAGTGAGCACGAGGTCAGGGAACCCAAACAGTCTTTAAATGGTTCTGATCATATGGCCAGGAGAGCAAAGACTGTGCACAAAACAGATCCCCAGCCCAGTCTGTCAGAAACCTCTGAAAATCTCGCCTCTGCCTGTTCTGCTGCATTTGTACTTTCTGGAGTGCTTGAGCGTCTTCAGCACCTGGAGGAAAAAATGAAACAGGTGACAAGCAACTTCTTTTCCTTTCTGTCTCTGTGATAACCTGTGTACTGTGGTTTTGCTGGCTTGTTCTCTGTTGACTGTTGGTTGTATTAAGACAATAAGATGTCTTTCTACAAACTTCTGTGTTTTGTTGGTGGATGTGGTTTTAACTGAAATCTCTCTCTTTCTTTTCTTGGCTGTCCTTCCCTGGCTGTCACTGCAGAAAAGAGCTCAGACCATAGCAAATAGGGAATTCCATAAAAAGAACATTAAAGAGAAAGCAGCACATCTCGCCTCAATGTTTGGATACATGGAGTTTCCAAAGGTGAATTTTAAGTTTTGCACCTGAAGAACTGCTTATTTGGAAGATGTATAAGAATTCATGAAGGGAAAGCGATTGAAGTAGTTTTGGTTTTAACTTCCTTTCATTCTGTGTGGATCTGAAAAGTAATGTGGGTTCCACTGAAACCAGTAAAAAGTGTTGTTTAAATATTACTGCATAGTTCAATTGAGGTGAAACAATCTGAATCCTAAAGCTAATCAGAGTGCTTTAGCAGGAGAGAAATGTGTTCAAATAAACTATGTCTTGTGCTTAAGCACACACTGCTGGCTCACAGTTTCTGATCAGCTGCTGAGCAGTGGTACTTGGTGCACTCTGGTTTTTGCTGGATTTCATTATGCTCTCTCCCAGTACTATCTTACCTTACTGCCCACTGTGAATATTTCTATTAAAGAAATAGTACAATAATACCATTTACCATGAAGATGCCCTGATGATTTCCATGGGTCCTTACTGTGCAGAGGTAGCAAGAAGAGTAGATCTGTCATTGTTATGTTTCTGGTTTTTTTGATGCATGACTGTGAACTTAACATCTGTGTTGATGTCACTGTCTCTTGGATAACTCTCCTGTTTCTGCTCTACACAGAATAAGCTACCTACTAAAGGCTTACCCCATTCTCAGCCCCCAACTCCCTCTTGCCCTCCACCTCATCATTCAGCTGTTGCTGCTTCATCATCTGTTGGTTCAGCTTCCTCTGCTGTTTCTTCTCAACAGGTACTCTATTAAGAGATTTTTCATGTAAAACCCAAACTTGTGCTCAAGGTGCTTGAGAAATGGCTTGGATGGAAGGAGCTGCCAGCAAACCTGTTGTATGGGTTGTAATTCACATTTAAATCAAGCTTTCCTTTTTTTGCTCTTGTTAGTTCTGCATGTTTGTAAGAGAAATGTTGTTATCAGATATGGCTTAGGTAAAAGCTGAAGAACAAAGCAAATGGTTAACATTTTTTTACTTCAATTCTGAAAATTTTATGTTGCTGCTTATTTTAAATGATCTGCTGTAGGATGATACCACAGGCATGCTGAGGAAAGCTTCACATTATAAAGCAAACTGTGTGCTGTGGGGTTTGTTAGTTTTCTTGGGTGGCATTTATGTTTCTTTTCATAAGAATATCCATCTGCTCTGCAGGGGAAAACCTGCACAATCATGGTTATTTTAACCCCGTCTGAGACTGGACATGTCTTAGAATTGTACGAGCATTTACCAATACAGACATTTTATTATTGTTTGCTTAATTATTAGTACTTTAAACTTGCTTCTGCATGTGAATAGGTAGAATACAGTTCTTTGTAGCAGCAGAACTTCTGGAAACATCCATACTTGGAAAGAAGGAGGTGACACTTGGGTCAGAGATACTCAGTTCTTACTGCAGAGGCTGATGCTCATGGGCAGCGTTGCAGTGACTGCCTGGCTCCCAGTCCCCAGGGAAACCCAGGGGACATGGCCCTTCAAGGACACTGCAAGCTCAGCAGGTGCCTTGCTGCAGTAATCCCCTAATTCCCTTCATTCAGCTTCAAAGTAATTCCTTTGCCTGGATTTACCCCTTACTTTTTATGAGCTAAGAGGTGTAGCATGTGATGGGTTTTAAGCTAAGTCATGGTTTCCAAAAGATTGGGAGCTGATGTTCATTTGATTTGGAGGACTGTTGTGACTCTGCAAAGAGAATAAAAAAAAACCCCCCAAACCCAAGCTATCTAAAAAACCCTTTAGAATATGAGAACTAGGCTTTTAATCATATGGATACTCTGTGAGAAATAATTTCATTGGGATTTTAACATCACTTCTTGGAGAGCCTTTGTCCCGACCAATCTTTTTTTCTGGATATTTTAAAAACTGGATTTTGTTTAAAGTGCACTGCCAGCCTTGATTAGTTTGCCTTTGTATTTAAATGGTGTGGCAATAGTTTGTTGTTACTTGGTTTCACTCAGGCTGGGCTTACTTCAGCTGAGAAGTGCTCTCCCCAGAGATACTGGTAGAATGCAGCTCAGCTGAAGCAAGAAAATCGAGTTCTGTCACCAGCACAGTAAATACACGTTCATCTCACTGGGTAAATATTTGGCTGGTTAAGTAGGACTGCATTTACACTTTGGCAGATCTACATGCATGAGCATTTTGATGCCTGCATACCCAGCTCCATGTGTTGTACAGGCTGCCAGCCTCTTGTACACTATGCATTTCATGGGTGTAAATGTGCTGCATTTTGTGTGGCAGTTTGGAGAATTTTTAAACAGCAGGTCTAGTAATGAGCGGGTGATCTTTGCTCCTCCTGTCAGGGGCACAGGTGGTAATAGAATCTGTCCCTGCCCTTTCACAGTGAAATAGTTGTCCCTGTGTTTTATCCTTACAGATTGCACACTTTTCAGAATGTGAAAATTTTATCCTGCTCTATAAAACACTGGCTAAATATGCAGTGCTATATAAATAAAAATTCAACAGTATTTCAGATGCACAGTGTGCATTTTCAAGTGCTGTTCAACAATATGTTTGGACCTCTGCTGTGAATATGCCAGGAACTGCCTATGTCTCCATTATCTTGAGGAGGGGGATTATGGGTCTCAAAATGTGAATTTCTGCTCTCTGTTCTAAGAAGTATCATTAGCTGAGTGTAGACTTCAGTATCAGAAAGTATTTTGGGATTGATAAACCAACAGGAAGATCTGCTGTGTGTTGCTGTCAGTGTTTCTGTTTTTTCCCCAGCAGACAGAAGGTAATAGAAGTGTTTAGAGTTCTGTAAGGCTTCATGATGTATGACCTATAAATATCAGCACCCTCCCATGGTTTTAAATAGCTAGTGCTGTCATTTAAATTTCAGGTGAGTTCTGAGATTGTTACCAGACATGACAAACCATTGCACCTGTTCAGTTTTGCTTGGAACAGTGTTAGTTATGGGGACACAGTTATTGAAAAGGGTGGCTATGAAATCATACTGTCTAATTACAGAAACTTGTTATTAAGTCTAAGTCCTGCAAGGAGCACTTGAAAAGAAGGCTGTGGGACTGTATTGTTTCTTTCAAGACATGCAGTCATTACAACTTAGTAAGAATTACCTTCTGTGTGCAATATGTCAATAATAATCAAAAGTGCCTTCTAGCTTCAATCAGCTGTCAAAATTCACATAGCTAGAATAATGAGTTAGCATATATTACATTACAGGCTGGGCTTTGATTATTCCTGTTTTCTGCTCAAGGTTGGATTGACCTTCAGAAAACTCTGTTCATCTGAGCTTTGTATGAGTGAGTCCTCACCGTGTGTCATAAGAACTGGGAAGTTTTTGCAATCAATTTACTCCCTGCAGAGCTTGGACCAACAACTTCCCTTCAGTGACGTGACTCTAATTGCCAGCAGCAAGCAGGGCTGGGGTGTTTCCTACACACAGTAACTTATTACTCAAATGTTGTTTATCTCAGAGGGAAAATACACGTAGCAGCTTGTACACAAAGTAAATAAATCACCCTCAAAGCAAAATAAGACCAGGAAAATCATTAAGGATATGAAAGAACAAAGGGAAAGCATTGTATGCTGTTGGAGGCAGATAGTTCCTTTGTTTTATGAGAATGCTACTGAGGCTTACTTGGCTGGCTGTGCAGTTCTGAATAATAACACAGGGAAATACAGAAGGCAGCTTTCTCTTCCCATGGCAATAACCACCCTGGTCAACCTGCTGAAAAGCAGTGTGCCACTGACAGCTCAACGGTCTGAGGAAATCACAAACTCTTGGGATTTTTAAGTGTTTTCTGCTTGTTGCCTGAAATTCACCATCTAAGGTAACTCTGTAGGATTCCTGTTCAGCCAGGGCTTTAAAGCTGCCTGAGCTGTGAGCAGGAGCCTGTTCCATGCAGACAGTGGCCCCAGCAGTACAAAGCTGTGTGTGCCTTCAGTAGAGCAGCAGCCTCAAGGGCACTGGGGACATTCTCTGGTGTCTCTGAGGGTGGCAGGTGCCCTTGGGGCTGCCCTGGTGGATCCTCATCCTGCCCTGATGCTTCTGTTTGGTGACTGAGTGGCACTGGAGCAGAACAGAGTCGTTCTGTTGGAAGGGATGTACAGCAAAAGATCTCTTGCCTGACCAAGTCAGGGCTGACCAAAAGTTAAAGCATGGTTTTAAAGGCATTGTTGCTAAATTAAAGTGAAATCTCACTTGCTTTTACTTGGAATGTGAATTCACATTTGTTATAGGAACATTTCCTTTTAATAGCATTTTTAAAGTGTGTATAAACATGCATTTTTTTTTTTTGTTTTGACTGCTTTAATGTTGACATAGGTTGTTCCAATGGATGGAGAACAGAAATCAGCCAACCTGAAAAATTTCAAGGTGTAGTTCAGGCTCAAGGATACTTTTCCTGAAATTCAACTACTTTCACTTTAAGCACTACCTTGTTATTTAACTGATTGCTCCAGTATTTATCTAGTTCAAGGAAAACTTTCTGCTTCAACTGACTTTGAACACTTTCTTTTACCTTGGATCTTGTGGACAAGAACTTGTACGTTTACATGTACATTACTTGTACATGTACAACATGGCCTGAAAATGGCTCTGGATATTCAGAGGTGCAGAATTTGGGGAGGAAATTTTTTTTTGTTCCATGTTCTTAAAAAAAAAATCAAAGGAACATCAAAGGAACATAGTTTTCCTGTAGTAGCAAGTAGCGCTTCTTGTAGGGGTTTAGGAATTGATGTGCCATTTGGGACAGTGCTGTGGTATGTAAATAGCAGTTCACTTTGCAGTTATTACCCACAAGTTGGTCCAGATACTGAATAATATTTTAAATTCTTTTTATACTAACTGAAACCAAACAGGAAAGAAATTTGTCCCTTAAACGGCCTTTGTAGTCTTAATGTGTATATTTTGTACCTGCCTGGATATCAAGTTAATTATGAGATAACTCTCAAAAGATAAGGGGAGCTGTAAAGGGTTGGACATACTCCCTTGAATTTTTAAATCCATAATAATTTTTGAAAACACATCCATAGTGCCTTATAAGTGTTTTTAAACTTGATCAGAAATGCTTTAAAATGGTTTTAAAGTATTCCAAATGCTGTTGCATTTATATTTTTTCCTTTCTTCATGGTAACTCTCTGGTATTTTAAAACCTTCAGTTAGCAGGACTTGGTGTGGTGGCAGTAGACAGATTATTTCACTGAGAAGAGGGTGACTTCCTTGAGATTTGGGCCCTGTGAGAGGCAAAAGGAGTGTTAGATATGATATCATGTATCTGTCCTCATGGAAAAAAGCAGTGCCCTGAGTTCAGAAGCAGAGTGCCAGACCCCTGGCCAGACCAGGATGGCCCTTGCTGCATTTGCTGCCAGGGAGGCTGTGGGACCTTGCATTGACTAGAAAGCTGAAATCCCAATCAATACAGGAAACTTGATTTAGAGCAGAGGATATTTCTGTGAATCTGTGAAGCCTTTACTGTCTGTTTTCCAGAAGCAGAGTACCTGCCTGCTTGCTGCTCCTTGCACACTCATGCACAGACACTTTTCCCCTGTTCTGGTGCCCCGGCAGGGGTTTGGGCAGGGAAACACACACCATGCAGTCATTGGTCTGTCTACTGAGCTTTTGGAGCCACTGCTGCCTTCTTGCAGGCCTGATCGATGCATTTGGTTAAAAACAGCCTAGTTTTCATGGCTGCAGCAGTGTGATGAAGCAGATTAAAGGAGAAGTTTCCCTCTCATGAGCGTGGTTTCTCCAGTCTTCCCTGGCATTGCCATGAGTCACTGGGGAGAGGGCAAATGGTTGCCCTGTGAGCACCAACAAAACATTTCTGTGTGGGACTTGGCTCATACATTTTCATAGAATGTTCCCTGAAATGTCACAGTTTGGGGAGTGTTAATATGGAGTTCAATCCCACCGCCTGTTCTGAAATGTTAGAACCAAGTCCCAGAGAAGTTGAAGTGAACAATAGGGGTTTTTTTTAATGTCAGAACATCCAGCTCAGATAGCCAGGCAGTGGCTCCCAGCTCAGCCTTTCATGGACACAGCAGGAAGCCTTGAGGAGAAGCATTTGTTCCCATCAGGATCATCCTCAGGGAAAAGTCTGTGGGCTGCACAGAAGCCTTCTGTGGCCCCACGCTGGTCACGCATGGACATGCTTGTGCTCTGCTGGGCTTCCCCTCTGCTCTTCCTCCTGCCTCCCTGTATCGATGTTTGCATGTGCACAAATCATTCTTGTCCTTTTTTGTCTTTAAATTCTCTTTCAAGGGTAACTAAAGCTCTTCCTTCTATTCTTCATCTTCCTCCCTTTCCTGGTTAGATGACTGTAGGAAAGGTCTCACGTGCAATTGGAGCTGTGGCTGAAGTTCTTGTAAATCTCTATGTGAATGATCACAGACCCAAGCCACAGCTTGAACTGGTAAGACTAAACCCACAAAGAAACAGTAACTTGCCTTAAGAGTAAAGTTCCCAGAATGCCATCCTGATTAAGACCCCAGATGTGGAGCACTTGAAGCCTTATGAAGGAATCAAGTGCACGTAGGCACAATGTGCTGATGGAAATGTTGCTCTCCACGTCTTCTATTTCTATTTCTGTTACTGAATTAAAACTTCAGGAGGCTTTTATTAAATGTAATTACTGTAGAATTAGTTACAGAAGACAATTATTACTCAGGGTGGCTTCTAAAGAAAGTTTTGTGCAGTACATGCTTATGCAGTTATTTTTAACACTCGAATGCTGAATCACTGTGCCTCCTTTTGAAGAGGGCTATTTCTCAACTCTGACACTCTTCTGTGTTGAATTTGAATTCAGAAGCGGTCTCTGGACAGAGCTGCAGGTTCTTGCCCCATTCCTCACTTTCCATCTGCTGCCTCCACCACTCAGGGCTGTCAGGTACTGAGAAGCCAAGTAAGGTGTTGTGTTGTGCTGATGACACTTTACTTACCAGCCAGCACTAAACTCAGTTGTTTCAGCTTCACTGTAACTATCTGATCTATTAACACCATGGTTTTAAAAGCACATCTGTGTGGTTTTCCATTTGCATGGTTGTTTGTTTGGAAAGATTCATGCTCTAAAATGATCCATCAGAGCAAAATGGGTTACTAATGGCAGATCTGGAATAGAATTCTCAACTTTTAAGCGCAAGACTACGTGACAATGACATTTGTGAGTTCTACTTAACATTAAACAATTGTTCCAAGGCTGCCTTTTGCTCACAAATGGAAGATGAGTTGTGTGGACTGTGTGCTACTGTCTGAATGTGCCTTGGACCTTTCCTCCTCCATGCCACGTGTGGTAGCTCTCCTGTGGCAGCAGGGATAGCGGAAGGGGAGGGAGGTGGTGATGGATGTGGCAGGCACAGCACGCTCACCTGTACCAACTGTAACACAGTAATGCAAAGTAACACCCTCATACCTGCCTCTAATAAGGAAAGGGAAGTCCAGTGGCATCTAATCAATTTCTAGTTCACTTTTCTGTACCTTTTGCATGCGTATGTAAGAGGGGGTGAAATTTGTGGCAATTAAAGAATGTCCATTACCAGCCTAATTGCAGCAAACTTTCAAAATAGTTTAATGTGGTTAATATGGATTGTGTTTTGAATGCATTAAAAACGTTCTGAATGTGTATGGTAGGAAACCAAGTGATTTTTAAAGCTAACCAAGCCCCAGGTTGGGCTGTGGTCTCAGGAGGAGCACGGCTGAGAGGGGAGGCACGACTGTGGCCATGGGAAGGATGGAGTGTTTGAAGACTGCTTTTCCTCCTGAAACTTAAAGCACAAGCCTGGATTTTCCTCCAGATTGTGTCTGAACTGAGTTCAGGGTGTTTTTTTGCTTGGCTGCAGATGCAAGTCTGCTGTTTGAGGCTGGTGAGGTGTGTCTTCACCTTCTGAGAGAGATACGAGTCCTGGAGCCAGGACGGTGCAGGGTGATGAGGGAGCACTCAGGGATGATGCTGCTCTTGGACCTGACTAATCAAAATATTGGTGAACTCCCAGAGGGAAACTGGATGCAAGTCCAGCATCAAAGTCACCCCTTTAAAGTCCTTATGACGTCTGATTTATTAATTTTTGCATAAACCTACAGAATTGCAGTAATGAGTAATTAAAAAGCTGACTGATGCCTACTGTAATTTTGCTTGGAGGGTGCTGTACAACCCTTCAAGAAGCTAAAGCAGCTGCCCCCTTCATAAGGATTTATATCTGGGTGTGGAGCCACAGCTTTATGTTCTGTTTTTATCTCTGAACAGGGTTCTCTGCGAAAAGAATTCCCCAAGTCCATCGGGGGCAGTGACATCTGCTATTTCTGCAAGAAACGGGTCTATGTCATGGAGAGGCTGAGTGCAGAGGGCCACTTCTTTCACAGGGAGTGCTTCAAGTGTGAAATCTGTTCTACAACACTCCGCTTAGGAATTTATGCCTTTGATGTTGAAGAAGGTAATGGAGGAGCTATTTGGGAGTATTTTGAAATGTCTGAGGTTGGTGCTCTTGCTGGAACAAAGGAGAAAGGTCTGTCCCGGTAGCACGGTCAGGAGGAGATCTGCCAAGTGTGCTGTTTGTGTCCCTGCTGATCTTTGAGTCCTTGTACATGCAGTCCTAGTTTTTCAGAAGTGTTGAGTTATGACAGACCTGAGCTGTAAATGAAAAAATCCTCAGTGGAAAATAAGTTGAGTAACCAAAATGCAGTTTGTCAAATCACAGGTCAGAGTAAGGGGGGAAAAAAGGGGTGAGGTTTCTCCAATAATATAAAGTTATTCTTATCTCCGTTTAAAGCTGGCCATTAAATAACATTATCTGCAAGGACAAGCCATAACAGTGGCAGATTTACATGGATGCAGGGAATGTAGGTTATTTCTGTTACAGTGTTATGGTCAGGAGTTGAAAGCAGTAGGACTGACCAAGCACAGTGTGATTTATTCCAGGCTCCAGGCTGCTGTAGAACAAGAGGTTCAGATCTTGGGTGCTTCATCCCACATAAATCCTGGGGGTTTCCTTCTTTTTTCTTTTAAAGTTTGTAATGGAGTTATCAAACTGAATTGAAATTCTCTTGTCCCTTCCAAAGTACTTGAGTAGATCAGAGTATTAACCTGATCTCCCTCTGCAAAAATACTAAAGATTCAAGGTCAAAGTGGTTCTTTTTGTGTGGAGATTGTGAAAAATGTCTTTTGAGAAGATTATTGACATTTTTTTTTCTGCTTGATGTCTTGTGTTGGTTTGTAACTTTGTATTTATGGGATGCTGGTTTTTTGCTGTTTATTAATCTTATACCTGAGAGGTAGATAAATGACCTTGTGTTACTGAACTAATGTGCAAATCTGTAAAAGAAACCTATTCAGAGCTGTTAGTCAGAATCAGTGCCAGGTTTCCCTTTCATTTTGCTGCCCAACTGCTCATTTTCCTGGTTTCATTTTTTAATAGATGCAACAGTGATTTTTCACTCCATATATGTATAGATAAGGTATCCTGTAACTGATGATTTTTCCCTCTTGTAGGTAAATTTTACTGTAAACCTCATTTTACGCACTGCAAAATCAGTACGAAACACAGAAAGAGAAGGGCAACAATACAGATCCATGGAAAGGTATGGAGAGATTTTATTGTCAATGCAATGCTGAGGCACCTTTATCTGGGGCAGGGTGAAATACATGTGTGTGTGTGTGGATGTTTTCTACCTCATGTGCAGTAAAATCAGTGCTAAAGTACAAACCTCCTCCTTCTGTGAGCTTGGCATATCTAATAATCTGGTTCTCAATGGAATTTAGCTTTTCTATGCAAAATAAAGTTGAACTTTGGAGCAACTGGAAATGAAAATATATGTAAAGACTTGAAGACAGTAGCAGAAACTGGACTTACATACTTTAGAAACATATTTAACACTTTTTATTTTTTTTACCGTTTTTCCTAAGGAGGCGATAGACGCGTGGAAGAAAGCGGAAGCCAAACCCACAGAGATCACCACAGAAAGCAGTTTGTCCACTGCTAGCAGTCCAGAGGACAGGTCCCCAGGTATCCTGACTTCCTTCTTAGGGGGCGCGCTAAGCTGGCCCCTGCGGGTGACCAGGGATCTGCTTGACATTCCCAGCCGCCTGTCTAACTGGATGCATGGTGTCCTGCACGCTACCCACCTCCATTTCAGGGACAATGCATATAACTATACCTACCTGTACGAACTCCTGAGCCTTGGGGTGCCGCTCCTCTGCGCTCTCCTAGAGGTACTCGCTCACATGTACCGGGAAGCAGAGCTATCACTTGAAAACGTGCTTGAATGGGTGAAAAGATTCTCTAGGGTTTGAATCTTTCCGCGTGTCTTGCTCAGTTGTGCCTTTCGAATTTTCAAAATTAACAGCCTGGCTATTTTCTCGAGGGGAATTTTTGGTTTGGAGGGCTTTGGTTTTGCTCTTCGTGCAATGTGACGCGTGACTTCATTGAATGGTGGATTCCTTCTGATAGAAGCGAGGTACAATTGGAATTTTCAACATAAAATGTACTGTATGTTAGAGCATGAAGGACAGTGTCCAAACACATTTCCAGAACATGGAGTCATATGAAGGATATTTTCTAGATTATTTCCCTCCCTGTTATTTTCTGTGATCAGACTGTTGGAGAAGATGGTACATTTTGAAACCATTTTTCCTCCTATTCTCCCCAGCTTATTTTTTTCTTTTTTCAGTTAGACCATGAAAAAATGTGTGTTCTTTCAGGAATATTTCTGACAAATGGCTGGGATTTGAAACATGAGTAAAGCACGTAGCTTTTTTTTCTTCTTGCTTTCATCTTTGCTCTAGGTTATGAGACTTTTACTTGCGTTAATATGTTTCAAAAAAATAGTGTACATAATTCACATTGCTCCAAGTCAAATGCCTTTTACATTGCTTTACATGTGATGGATACCTTTTGTTGATAGTGGGTACTATCTGTTCTACTAATTTATTTGAGGTTTTTCAATAAATTTGAAGAGCAAATGATAGTTGAGTGAAGACTTGATTGAAATTTTAAGTCAAAGAAGCTGGTAGGAAGAAGTAGACCGAACATTCCTCAAGTCAAGGCTTCCTCATTTGGTGGCTGATATGAGGCATATCAATTTATGGAGCACTCCTCTGTAAGTGAAGTCACTCCTGTTGTGCCTCTGTGCAGGCACTGCTCCCAGTCTCTTTTGGAATTTTTTTAAAAATGCAGGTTTATAACAAACATCAAAAGCCAAAAAATGTATTCTTAGGTGATAACTTCTTACTTGGGTAATTCATTTCAACGTGTGCACCTAGTGGCAGAAAGGTGAAATTCTATTATCTGGAGCAGCAGATGAGTAAATTTCTTTCAGATGTCCCTCAACCTTAATCAGAAGGTCTACCTTAATCTGTTAAGCAGCAAGGACACAGTGACATCCCAATGCTCATTACTTTCAGCCTAGTTAGCCAGCGAGGTAAGCATGCTCCCTGCCTTTCAAGTACTTACTTATATTCAGAAGTTTACCAGGAAATAGGTAAATCTAATATGTGTAGCCTAAAATGAAAAGCATCTGTAGCATTTATTTGTAGCCAGAAGAATGTGGCATAAACAATAGGAAATACTGTTGCATTCAGTTAGTACCAGAACTGAGGATCACCTGCCAGTGGTCCCAAATGACAGTGCTGCCTATGGGCTGGCAGGCCTTGGGGTTTGTTGTTTTGTTTTGATTTGATTTGCTATAATGTGGGAAAAGATGATTTGAATTGTTTTGCCTCTTAGGTATGAAAAGGAAATGTGTCTGCTGTTTAGAATAAATGACAAACTGGATCTTCCTTCTAGATAGTTTGACTTTCTTTAAACTATGAGGATGAGCTTTTCACATTTTAGAGTGGTTATGTATTTTGGGGTAAAAAATGTTATTTTTATGCACAGAACTTGAAAAAGTGCTTGAAGAAAATTATTAGATAAAAGGTAGCATTCCTTTGACAAAAATTGCCTTTAATGCTCAAACATGTATTCAGCCAAACTTTGCTATGACATTGAGTGGACACAGCAATAATTACAGTTACATGGTGGCCATCTGTATGTATGTAATGTATCTGTACCTTTCTTACAGCATTTAAAAAACCTGACCTGGAAACACTGTACTATCTTTAATTATTTTCTAATTATAGAAACTGTTTCACCCTAAAAAGGAGGCAGTCTGCAGTGTAGTTACTCCTGCAGCACAGCAAACTGCTGGGCAGTCGAGTTTCCAAATTTGGGCTGCCATCAATTTTGGTTTCAGTTTGTCAATAGGAGAGTCTTTAGGAACACTTCTTCCTAAAGTTTTCTCCTGCTGTTTACTATGGCAGAGAGAGCATAATGGTAGACGTAGGGAAAATGGTGATTTACAAAAGTTTTTGTAGAAGATGTAGAAGATTTCCAAGAAACTTGGAAGTCTCTGGCCAATGAACTTAAACCAAATGAATCTTACTAGTAGAAAGTGTAAAAACAAGATTAAAAACAAATTAAAATATGGTATTGATTTTGTATAGATTTGTATAATGGGGCATAAATCCCTACATTTCCACAGCAGAGTTCAGGAACTTGTGTAATGAAAATGTTTTCCTGAGGAATCTTAATTGCCACGCATATTCCACTGGGATTTTGCAGGTGATTCTGTTGGGAGGGTTATTTTATTGGTATTACTGCAATTGCTCAATTTTTTCGACTTCTTCATCTTACTGTTCTGCTAGTAATACTCATACCTGCTTGTCCTCCTTGATAATTGAATGAAAAAAGGCAGTTCCATTTTGGCCAGTTATTCTTTGTACCTATGTAATCTTCCTGATGCTTTCCTACATAACCAAGTGAAGTTCTGTGTTTTCTTCCCTGCTGTCTTCTCTGCCAATCTCCCTCATTGCTTTTAGTCCAATTCAACATTCCGGTGCTGCACCCGCTCACTGGCTGAAGCCTTTCTGCTCTCAGGTGATTTTTTTTCCAGTTCCAAAATTACATGACTAACCCTGTTGTTTGAAAGCATTTCATTGTGTGTTCTTGGTTTGTTTGTTTGTTTTTTTTTAACTGTTGAAGCAATCTGTGTGTCTGGTATATTAATAGAGCTTTGGCATGATTATTTAACCTGTTGCTGAGTTCACAGTTCTAGAAAAAGTAATGTTTTTCTCTCTGTGTCTGTGCATGTGCGCTTCCCTGTGCCTTTAAGGTAAGTTAGGCAGTAGAGGGTTTCTTGAAAGAACTTGTTAAAGCCTTATTTCTTTCAAAGAACTGAAGGAAAGATGTGTAATAAGGTCAGGGTGAGATTGCCCAGCTGATTCTCTGGGTTAACATGAGCACCTTTTTGCACTGAGCTCACACACCCAATGAGCAAGCAGTGTCTGAGCACTTCCCTGCTTTCCTACTGGAAAAGTGTGGTGTAAAAGGTTCTGTAGGCAAAGTAGCCTAAACTGTGCAAGTTCTAGTCTTCCACCCCAAGTGACATTGTAGACAGGCCTAAAATTGACTGTTATTTTACATAATAACATATGTAATAAAGGTAATAAGTTAAAAGTGCGTGTAGTTCTCAGGCTGAACTACCAGCATGCCAGAGCGCTTTGGTTTGGGTGGTTTTATTGCCTGGGCCTTGCCTGGCACTCTGATGATTGGGTTTCTCTTGCTGCTCCCCTCTCCATGACCAACTCCCGCCGTTGTTTTGTATGAATTTTTTACATAAGGTTCAGTTTGTATAATCACTAGGTGACAGTCTAGAAGGGGAAATGAATCCCAGCAAGACCCAAGGGCTCAGGGTGACCAGCAAGTACACTGAGGGTCTGGCTGATGTCATAACCCTGCTGTCCCTGCCAAGGACCCCTCTCAAAGGGAAGGAAGGGCCTTTGAGAATTGATCTTAGGAGCAGTTTTAGGGGGGGCCAAACATCCTCTGCCATCTACTCCATTTCACACACCTCAGCCAGGAATGTGGAAGGCAGCAGGGCCAGAGCTCTTATCTTGCTGGTCTGTACATTTGCACGACTCAGCCACTTGTATTTATTTGTGTGGGTATCCTGAAATGACTTGATGGCTCTGAAAGTCCCCATGCTGTGCCCACACAGAATCTCTCAGTGTTTCAAACGTCATTTCCTGCACAAATGGCTGGGATGTGACTCCCAGTGTATTTCAGGGCTGCAGTGTGTTGTAACAAAGCTCAGCATGCTTTAATATGAAGGTTATGACATAAAGGTCTGCCATTTCAAACCCTTCCTATTGCTGTGTTTTTTACTCTCTGTTGCAGAGTCTTCCTTGCTCTTCCTGCTCAGTGAGGATTCTGTCCTTCTCCTCCTAAATCTTCTGTCTTCATTTTACTTTATAATCTTAACTGAATATTTTTATTAAATAGTTTTTAACTTTGTATTTAAATTTTCACATGGAAATTCTGTATTTTGCACATGGTGAAAATTGTTTTAGCTTTATTTATGATATCTGCTGTAAACAAAAATAAATGTAGTTCTTTATAAGTCTCCTTGTTTCATCTCTTCCTTTTATAAAGATTTCCTGGGTTCAGAGACTTAGTAGTGACTTCACGCTGGGTTTGCACCTTCCTCTTGTGGTGGATGCTGTGGTGTTACCCTGCTGGTGGCCCAAGCAGAGGCCCCAGAGTTTCCCTGTGGTGGTGTCATTGCATGTGTGTCCCTTGTGATGCACATCAAGGTCCCTGAGGAGTTGGCCAGGGTGACTGGTGCTGGGATTCACCCTTCCTGGGGATGAGGAGCTGGTGTTGGTGGGCATGGGGCACACACAAACAGCACTGTCCTCCTCTCTTTGGCCTCTGCTACCTTTCCTTACACTGCTATTTTACATATTAACATATGTCATAAAGGTAATAAGGTAATGTGTTTGGGTTTTTTGTTGTGTTCAGGAAAAGCAGGCAATAACCCAGGATAAATCTTTACCTTTGCTGCTCGCTCTGGAGTGCTCTTCCCAGTACCTGCTGGATCTCTGGAAGCTGAAGCTGGTGGTGACCCATTGCCTGTTAACAGTTGCCTTGCTTTATTTAATTGCTCTTTTAAAATTTTATTTTAATTTTTGTATTTTAAGCTGGTGGTGGAATTCTTTTTAAACAACAGGTTCTCCAAAAGAACGTTCCTAAGTCTTCCTCCCCTTCATTTTCTTTCTTTTGCTTACTCTGCAATTCTTAAGCTATAATCTCTTCCTTTGCATTTCAAGGAAAAAAAAAAACAAAAAACAAACAAATCCCAGAAAGAATAGTCCCAAGAGTTTAATGGAAAGATTGTGTGGTTTTATTTTTTTTTAATGAATTAAAACTGAACCTCACTGGGGTTGTTTGAATGACAGAAATTATTTTTTTAAAAATTGTTGCTAAAGACAACATCATTGCCAAAGAAGAGCAAATATTATTCTCAATGAACTCTTCCATCTTCCCTGCCAAAGGAAAAGCCACCAGGCTCAGTTAAAAGTTTGCTGTCT